GGGCTGTTCCTGGTTTGTGAAACACACCACTGTAAGTAGTTTCAACATAAAAAAAAAAATTACACAATTTCGAAATTGTTAGGAACTGGACCACAGTAATTGCTTCACTAACACCAACGTGAGCAGCTACCAAGCAAGCGCCTACAACCCCGGAAGTTCAATCAATGTAATAGAAAATTTGCCCCTTGACGACAAAATTTTGGTGGCGCCACAAAAGTTATCGGCGCACCTTCGTCTACGTAAGTGTTTTATTATAAAACTAACAAAAAACTACTTTGGTATTTGTAGTTTCACCAGTGTTGTTTAAAGTCCGGTTTGCTTCCAAAGATGAATCTCTAGTGACTCCCCACGACCAGAACATAATCGTCCAACTTCTACGTACGAAGCCCGACTTTGTCATCGTTCATTTGGAGGCTTTACGCTGTCCACAAGATGCCAAGAGTTTTCGACAAACTCTGACTCTGCCTACGACGCAAACCCAGCAAAAGGTGACCGTGGATTTGCATTTTAATTGTGAATGCCCGTTTTAATTTTTTTTGGAATGGAAGCCGACCAGAAATAAAAATAAAGTTTCAAAGCAGTTGAAGAACGATCCCGAAAAACCCAAATTTCCCTATTTAGTCCAACAGTAAGACGAATCGGAAAATAAGCTCCGGAATTTTTGGTGGATTTTTGGGCACTTCGAGATTTTCGATATTTCCCCACGATCTTGATCCTGGACCTTCAACACACCATTTTTTTTAATTTCGGTTATTTTCTGTAGACGTTTATGATGGTTTCATTTTTGCGAAAACTCCTACCGTTTTTCCAAAATGGCCAAAATGAAAGGTGACAAAATTGGAACTATTTCAAAAATTTGGAGTTGAACCCGAATATTTCGAAAACGAGCTGTTGTATCAACTTGGAATTATTTTCCCTAACAGACGTATCATTCCTGCGCAAAGACAATTTTTTTCAAAATTTTAGAACACCCAGTTTTCTCGGAGAGGTACTAAATGCGTACTTAACAAAAATAGTACGGCAGCTTCTAGATTTCGATTTTGACCCGGAATTTTGGTCCGGGACCATTATTAACACGAATGTTTTTCGATTTAGCTCATCGAAATCCTACTCCCAGAATTTTTGGTGGATTTTTGGGCAAGTTTTCCAAAATTCAATTTTTCAGTATCAAATTTTAAGAAAATTTTGACTCTTTCGAGCACCGTCCAAATTTATCTAAAAGTATTTTTTATAGATTTCGACCTCCAGGATTTATTTTTGGATCTAACATTTTTCCAGACTCGATAAAATGGCCTATTACAATTTTTAGAAATATTTAAAACTTTTACCTTGAACACGAATAGCTCATAATATTTGTCGGAAAACATTAACAAGCTATGTTTTCCGAATAAGTTTGTCGAAATCTATATTTTTCTAAAAGCCCAATTTCGCAAAATTCACTTTTATGAAAATTTTGAATTTTTTCGAGTAGCGTCGAATATTATCTGAAAAGAATTTTGGCAGATTTCGATTTCTAGAATTTATTTTTGGTCTGATTTCTAAAAAAAAAATTCGTAAAATTTTTTCAAAAGCTCAGTTTTTCAATTTGAAATCTGATGGAATTTTTTACCTTTTTCAAGCACCGTCGACAATTATTCTCTAAAAGAATTTTTTACGGATTTCGACTTTCAAGATTTATTTTCAATTTCATTTCATCCAAAAATTATGTCATTTTTTCAAATCGAAATATAAAATATAGCAATTTTTAAAATATGCACCTTAAAAATTTGACTTTGAAAACGAATACCTCGAAAATCTTTGTTCAGGACCATCTACAAGCTATGTTTTTTTAATTAGTTGTTCGAGATCTATATTCCAGTATTTTTAATGGGTTTTTAGGTAACTTTTCCAAAAATCCAATTTCTCAATATGAAATATTTTCCTTTTTCCAAGCACCTTGGGAAAATGTCTAAAAGGAGTTTTTGCAGATGTCAAGCTCCAAAATTTTCTTTGTGCTGCATTTCTTTCAAATTTCTATTATTTTTCAGGAATCCCCAAAATTAAATATGCCACTTTTTAGATTTCTTTAAAAATCTGACTTTGGAAACGGATACATCGAAGATCTTCATCCAAGACCGGCCACATGCTGTTTTTCGAATTATCTTGTCAAAATTTTCCACGATTTTTGGTGAATTTTTAGGCAACTTTTCTAAAAGCTCAATTTTTCAAAATGAAATTTTATCAAAATTTTTAATTTTTTCAAAAAAATAATAAAAAAATTATGTTCAAACAAAACTATAATTAACAAGTAAAAAGGAAACCAAAAATTATCTCAATTGTGATGAATTATATATGGTAATTTCTTGTAGAGAAATGAGGATTTTGTAACGAAACTCCACCCGTCAGCTCACATTCATCAGAATTGAGAAGGGGTGGGTGGGCGGGGCTTATATTTGGTCCGTTTTTCTTAATACACGAAGTTTTCTTTTCCCAACAAGAAACTGACAAAATGTTTAACTATCGTGTTGTTGAAAGAAAACTGTATATATATAAAAAAAAAATAAGCCCCACCCACCCGCCCGGATCTCAACTGTGATGAATTTTTCATTCATTGTTACACCGAAGGGCGGAGCTTAATTGCAAAATCCACATTTCCGTGCAAAAATTTGTTATTTTAAACAGGTTTTAAGTTTCTTGTAGTGAAAAAACTACTAATATTAAGGAAAAAATAACAAAATATTTGCCCCGCCCACTCACCCTGTCTCAATTGTGATGAATTTTTCATTCGTTCTCACACCGAGGGGTCAGAGCTTAACTGCAAAATTCTTATTTTTCTATAAGAAATTACCATCTGAAACACGTTCTTCAAAAATTATATTCAAAGAAAACTATAATTATCAAGTAAAAAGGAAACCAAAAATTAAGCCCCACCCACCCGCCCTAATTTCAATTGTGACGAATTTCTTATGCTAATTTCTTGTAAAGAAATGAGGATTTTGCAACTAAACTCCGCCTTTCTGCACACTATGAATTAAACATTCATCACAATTGAGAAGGGGTGGGTGGGCGGGGCTTATATTTTGTCCGTTTTTTGTTAAAACACGAAGTTTTATTTTGCCAACAAGAAAGTGAAAACATGTTTAACTATTCTGTTGTTGAAAGAAAACTCTATATATTAAAAAAAAAAAACAAAAATTAAGCCCCACCCACCCGCCCCGATCTCAATTGTGATTAATTTTTCATTCATTGTTACACCGAAGGGCGGAGCTTAATTGCAAAATCCACATTTCCGTGCAAAAATTTGTTATTTTAAACAGGTTTTAAGTTTCTTGTAGTGAAAAAACTACTTATATTAAGAAAAACAAATACAAAATATATGCCCCGCCCACCCACCCTGTCTCAATTATGATGAATTTTTCATTCGGTCTCACACCGAGGAGTCAGAGCTTAACTGCAAAATTCTTATTTTTCTATAAGAAATTACCATCTGAAACACGTTCTTAAAAAATTATGTTCAAACAAAACTATAATTAACAAAGAAGTAAAAAGGAAACCAAAAATTATCTCAATTGTGATGAGTTTCATACGGTAATTTCTTGTAGAGAAATGAGGATTTTGTAACGAAACTCCACCCGTCAGCTCACATTCATCAGAATTGAGAAGGGGTGGGTGGGCGGGGCTTATATTTCGTTCGTTTTTTTTTAACACACGAAGTTTTCTTTTTCCAACAAGAAACTGAAAACATGTTTAATTATCCTGTTCTTGAAAGAAAACTCTATATATTAAAAAAAAAAAAACAAAAATTAAGCCCCACCCACCCGCCCAATCTCAATTGTGATTAATTTTTCATTCATTGTTACACCGTAGGGCGGAGCTTAAGTGCAAAATTTTTATTTTTCTATAAGAAATTACCATCTGAAACACGTTTTAACTTTCTTGTAGTGCAAAAACTCCTTATATTAAGAAAACAATAATTTTACCGTTCAATGTTATCGACGATTTTTGAAGCATTTCGACCTCTAGAATTTATTTTTGAGAAAATTCGTACCTTTTTCAGGAATCACCAAGTGCATTTTTTTTAATAATTTAAAAATTTGGACACTAAAACTGATACATAGTATTTTTTGAATAACACGATAAAAAAACGTTTCAGATGGTAATTTCTTCTGGAAAAATAGTGGTTTTACAATTATCCTTCGCCCTCGCGCTCAAGACGAATAGAAAAAAATCATCACAATTGAGACAGGGCGGGTGGGCGGGGCTTATATTTTGCCCCCTTTTTCTTAACAAATGCCTTCTTTTTACAACAAGAAACTTTAACAATATCATATTTGAGATGGGGGTGGGTGAGCGGGAGTTATCTACAATTAACCTGTTTTTTTCTTAGTATGCGTACTTTTCTTTCCCGACAGGAAGCTGAAAACAAGTTTAAAATGGTTTAAAATGGTAATTTTTATACACAAATGTGGATTTCGCAATTAAGCTCCGCCTCTCAATCTCTCAAAATGGTTTAAAATGGTAATTTTTATACACAAATGTGGATTTCGCAATTAAGCTCCGCCTCTCAATCTGACAACGAATGAAAAATTCATCATAATTGAGATGCGAGCGGGTGTAGATAGTTTTCAACACGATGACTTAAGAGCATGTTTCACATGGTAATTTCTTGTGGAAAAATAATGATTTTTACAATTAAGCTCCGCCCCACGACGGATAGAAAAAAATCATCACAATTAAGAGAGGGTGGGTGGGCGGGGCTTGTATTTTGTATGTTATTTCTTAATATACGTGGCCTTCTTTTGGGAACAAAAAACTGAAAACATGTTGAAAATGTTCTACATTTTCGTTAAGCTCCGCCCCTCGGTCTGACGACCAATGAAAAATTCATCACAAGTAAGATTGGGACTGGTGGGTGGGGCTTAATCTTTGACTTTTTTCTTAATATTTTTGCACAGTAAATGCGTAGTCTACAACTTCCAAAATTATATTTTCTAATCAGTTGATTGACAGGCAGACTTGCACCTTATTCCCGATATTTTCTGGTAATCTGATAGCGCTTAAGACGCTCTCTTAGTATAGGAGCGCGGTCAAAATCGATACACAACAGAGTATAAAATATCAAACTACAACGAATTTGACAGTTCGCGTCAACCCAACTCCAAGATTCTCCACTAATCACCCGCATTTGTGTATTAAGGAAAAATCCATGCCCCACTTTAAGTCATCAATGCCATCACCTTTCTAATCACCCATTGATTACGCTTAATGTACATTCATTTTCAAATCCACATTTTTTTAGACCGCCATCTGAAGCGTCAAAGCGCATCTCCTGCCCGATCAAGCAACTCCTCGCAACTAATTTATTTCGTCTCGCCTCCAACCATCTGCATCTCAAATCCAACACAAACAATAACAATAAACACGCTTAATCTCTGAACTTTAACACCGTAAACCTCGACTTAGTTCGGTCGAGCTAACCGCAGAATGTGGAACAAAATCGCAATAACCTTGTTCGTCCTGACCAAATTAAAACAGGTGCATTGTATCGACGACTGTTCATCGCTAAGAACCTGCCAGCAGTGCATGCATGCACCATCGTGCGGCTGGTACCTGCAGTATCGGGTAAGTAGCAACCAAATATAAATGCCCTCGATCAACCCAAACCCGTTGAGCAGACGGTCAACGGTTCCGGGTGCTTCAAAAAGGACCGCCTGGACCTGGAACGAAGGGACGCAACCAAGGGCTACGTCCACCCTCCAAAAAGCAGCTTGTACGTCATAAGCAGTCGAGGGAATGAGGAGTTCGCGCCTCAGGCAGTCTTCCTGAATTTGAGACTAGGTAAACGGGAACGCCTTTTCGAAATTTCTGGAAGCCCATTTCTCGTTTCAGGCGAGACTTTCGCCTTTCCCATAACCTTCACACCGCAGCGCCCATCGTGGGGCAAACGGGCCGTCGAACTCCAACACAACTACCACAAACCCAGGATAAAGCTGGCGTTTTTCAGCGACTGCGGTGGTCAACACGAAGAGGCGATCGAAACCAGCCAGTGTGACAACGTCGAGGTAAAAGTCAAAACGATGTGATTTTTTGTCCACGCTTGTTTCTAGTTTGGTAAATCCGTGGAGTTTGTGGTCAAAGTCCAGCAAGTGGTTTGCGCGAAACGTCAACCCGAGAAGATCAAAACGGTTGAGATCAGCGCTGCCCCCAGTGGTGCCACCTTCCGGCTGAATTTGTACGTCCACTGCAACTGTCCTTGCGAGATGGAAGGCACGAAGGGCAATCCGGAACTACCCGAAGAAGTTCCGGGGTGTCGCGGCAGGGGCGAGTTCGTGTGCGGGGTGTGCTATTGCAACGAGGGGTGGGCGGGGGACAGTTGCGAAATTAACACGACGAACGTTATGACGTGATTAATAAATCAGTAGAAAACTATTGGTGTAGTTCCATGAAAACTCCCCCTCGTTCCGTCTGTCTGTCTGTCTAAATTTGAAATTGCACAAATTGCTCTGAAATGCACTCCGAAATAACCTTCGACGAATTTTTCTTTTCGAAAATCGCCGCGCCATAAACCCTCTGATGGCCCCTAAAATGCTAATGCGCTTTATCGCTTTTCAAAATTCTATTACAGCGAATAAAAGTTATATGGGCCATATTTTTCGAGTGCCTACCTTACAGGTTATTACGTGCCTTGATTTAGCTATAATAAATTCGGTTTTACAGCTTAAATCCGGCATCTAGCCGAAATTACAAGCAATAACTCGGTCCTAATATCTCCAAATTAATTATCCCGGCCGTCGAACGTCCTAAATCACCGAAAATGCGCGCGGGTTATTCTAAACGTTGATAATTTTCCAAAACATATTCCCGCTTTTTTATGGATCAATAAAGAAAAAAGTGTAAACACGTTATTTCGGTACGAAAGCGTTCGTTCGAAATAATGAATTATGGTCACAATTCCGGTAATATCCGGTCCTGGAGTCGACGGCGGTGGTTTGTTCACATCATTAAATATTCATAAAAGGACAATAAAATTTCTCTCGGAACTTTCCTGTGAAATTTTTAAGCGCCGCGCTGAAATGTCCATTAGCGATTTCGGCGATAAACGGGGCATTAGGAATGCGAGAGAATGCTTTGTTTTAAAGATAAATACGAAGGTGATCGTTTTGATTTATGCCGGGGGAGCGAAATATTGCCTGTATACTCTCATAATGAACCAATAAATTTCACATGAAGCTCAATCGCATTGCCTGCTGCTTTAATTAATAATTGAAGTTTTACGGTGGAAACATAAATGAGGCGATTTAAACAGGTGTCGTTTTAATTAATTACAACGTTGAGGTTGTATCTTGAGGTATGTTTATTTCCCGCTCCTCGGGCTGGAATTTAATTAGTACGTATTTCATAAATTGAATTGATAATGGCATGAGATGCACGCAGGCGGAACGAACGAATCACATTTTTTCAACTATCCCATTGTGAGATATTGATTGAGTAACGACACTGTTTTTTCGTCCCCCGACGAGAAAACTACTAAAAAGTGGCTCGATTTGCCGCCGAGATTAAAAAACGAAAACTTCGCGTGCTCGTTCCGTTTACTAAAATTTATTATTGCATGTTGAAATTATTGAATAAAAAGTTCAAAATCTCGCTACGTACTTAATTCGAATTAAAATTCAACCCCTACGATCGACTTGTAGTTCGCTTGCAGCTTTTCCGTTTCAACTTTTAACGAGTACGGAGGGTCGAGAAATGAAACTCAAAGGAATACTGCTGCAGTCGTAGATAAAAGTAAAAAGTTCCGGTGGCTTCGGCCAACTACTTGCAAGGATTCTTATTAAATCCTTAATTCCTTGTAGTCCTTTTAATCCAGCAGACAGTAAACGCCGCAATCCAGACACTGAATAAACAAAACTGGGAAAGTCGATGCTAACAAGAAAAAGCTCGTAGTGCTTATTTCATCCATACGCCACCACCAGTACAAGCGAATTTGGTCTCTAGTCAGACGTTTTAGTAAACATTTCTTTTCGTTTCAAAAGAAATCTTTTTTCAAAACCAAAATATCATGATTGCAAATTTTCTTCTAAGCTTTGTTTTCAAAAGTGTATATTGTTCCCTAAAAAAAATTTGTTTTTCGAATATGTGGCAAAATTTTAATAACTCTGACGACTTAGCAACAATAAACAATTTCTTATTTCAATTTGGTGAAACTTCAGAAATTATTTCTTCCAAATGTAATCGAATAGGCAGATTTGAACCCACTCGTGCTGCCCCACGCCCGATGAGGGTTAACCTAGAAAATGGTGAGCAAGTGGTAAAGCTTTTACGCGGGATAAGGAAAAATCGTAATATCATTAATGAAAATCAAATTTATAAAAATATTAGAGTGTCACTGGACAAAACACCAAAACAACGTAGTTACTACAAGAAAATCAGACAAGAATTACAAGAAAGAAAAAATGGGGGTGAGGAAGGTCTTATTATAAAATATATAAGGGGAATTCCGCGTGTTATGGTAGCGAACAAACGTTCCAATGACAGAGATTCAAATAATTTAAACAAGTAAGGCCCAACTTTTCTATATCACTATATTACCAAAATGTGCGTAGTATAAGAAATAAATCAAATGAATTTTTTAATGCCACGTTAGATTTAAGTTATGACATCATCGCCATATCTGAGACTTGGTTATGTAGTTCTATCTCAAATTCTGAAATTGTTTCTTCTCACCTATATAATATCTTTAGAAACGATCGTAATTATCAAGAGTTAAATATATCTAGAGGTGGTGGTGTCCTTTTAGCACTGCGATCTCACATAATTGCCGAAGTTGTTGACTTATCTCAATTACGTAATAGTATAGACATAATTGAAATTATAGGATGTAAATGTTGGCTTAAAAATTCGATATTTTATGTATTTGTTGTATATTTCTCAAGAACTCCAACATGTGATGATTTGATGGTATTTTGTAACTTTTTTGAGGAGTTTTTCAACAAAGAAGATAATATTTTGATCTTAGGAGACTTTAACATCCCCCAATTTATTCAAAATAATGACAATATCTTGGTACATACCCTCAATAATTTTTGTAGTTTTATGAATTTTATTCAATATAATTGTGTGAAAAACGCCTCAAATTACTGGATCTTGTATTTTCCAATGTCCATTGTCGGGTTGAACATGATTGCAGTCCTGTGGTTGCGGAAGACACCCATCACTCGGCTCTTTCGATTTTGATTGACTTCACTGTTGACAACTTTAGTAACTTCCCTTCCACTAGACCAAATGGTGTAAAACTGTACAATTTTAAGAGAGCTGATTATCCTTCTTTATATCAGGAATTATTAAATATAGATTGGTCCTTTCTAAATAATTGTGTTGATGTCGATAGTATGGTAGCTCAATTTTATAACGCCCTATATCATATTTTTGATAAGCATGTCCCAATTTATCCAAATAAATTCAATAAGATTCAGTTTCCGCCATGGTTCAATTCTGTGATTATCAATAACATTAAATTAAAAGGTTATTATCATAATAAATATAAGCAAACTAATGATAGCTCCTATTACGTCAAATTTAAACATTATCGTACTATTACTAAAAATCAAATATCTCTAGCTTATAAAGAATATCTGAATTCCATTCAAAATAATCTATCCCAGGACCCAAAAAAATTCTGGTCGTATGTAAAATCAATAAAAGGTCAAACACGCATACCCGGAAAAATGACTTTTAATAACGTTTCTTTAAATTCTCCAGAAGACATCGTCAACGCATTTACCACATTTTTTCAGTCGTCCTATGTTTGTTCTCAGAATTCAACAGATTTTCCAGTGCCTTCGTCTGATTATCTTTCTTTATCTATATCCAGTATTACTCACAATGACGTTTTAGTTGCTTTAAATAAAATCAAAAATTCTTTTACTGCTGGGCCTGACCAAATCCCAGGTTTTGTGATACATGATTGTAAAAATATTTTTGTTCAACCTTTATTAGCAATTTTTAATGTTGCCCTTACTACTGGTACATTCCCAAAAAAGTGGAAGACCTCTAAAGTCACACCAATCTTCAAATCAGGTAATAATGCTGAAATAGATAAATACCGTCCTATATCAATAATAAATAACTTTTCAAAAGTTTTTGAAGTTGTTCTGTATTCGTTTATCTATCCTCATGTTCGAAAATATATCTCTCCGCAGCAGCATGGATTTGTTGATGGGCGCTCAACGATAACCAATTTAGCTTGTTTTTCCCAATTTCTGACAGAAGCTATTGATAATGGGTATCAAGTAGACGTCATTTATACAGATTTTGCGAAAGCTTTTGATCGCCTTGATCACTTAATGTTATTATCTAAACTTCAGGTATATGGTCTCTGTGGCAATATTTTCAATTTACTTCACTCATATTTATCAGACAGATCGCAATATGTTTTTTATAATGGTCACTCTTCTCATATCTACGATGTCACATCAGGAGTTCCACAAGGAGCTAATCTTGGTCCGCTACTTTTCATTTTATTTGTGAATGATTTGCCTACCATTTTCAAGAGTCAGTCATTAATATACGCGGATGATGCTAAAATATATCACATTATTAGAACAACTGAGGATGCACATCAGCTTCAAAGTGATATGAATCAATTCAACAATTGGTGTTCCTTAAATAAAATTACCCTGAATGTCACTAAATGTAAAGTCATATCATTTACTCGTAAGAAAACATTACACAAATTTGATTATTCAGTAAATAATGAAATCATACCTCGATGTAATGTCATAAAAGATCTGGGAATCACATTTGATTCAGAACTTACATTTCAATGCCATATCAACAATATTGTTGCACGTTCGTTTTCTTTACTTGGGTTTATAATAAGGACATGTAAAAACTTCAATAATTTAAATACTATTAAGATATTATTCGAGGCATATGTTATCTCATGTCTGACGTATGGTTGTATAATTTGGAATCCATTATACCAATGCTACATAAATGTCATCGAGTCCATTCAAAGAAAATTCATGAAATACGTATGGTTTAGAAAATACGCTACTTATCCTGATAGAGGAATTGATAATGCTTTGCTGCTAAGTGAATTCAACATGTTATCATTAGTTAGCAGAAGAGAAGTTGCCATTACTTTATTTTTCTTTAAATTAATTCATTCAAGGATTGATTGTGCCGAGTTATTGGGAAAAATTTGCTTTCATGTTCCACGCTTAAATTGCAGAAGTGGTTTGCCTTTTTATGTACCTTTAGCTCGTACAAATATTTTAATGAAATCGCCTTTAAATATAATGTGTTTCCTTTTTAATAAGAACTTTAAGGCTTTGGATATCTTTTCACACAGTTTCAAACAATTCAAAACGAAGGTAATAGTTTTTTATTTTAATAGTAGTTAATTAAATTATTACACCTATTAGTTGTTGTTTCTACTAATTTGAATTTGTGTCAAATACTGTTTTTACTATTATTATTATTATTATTATTATTTAAAGTTGGTTTGTTATTTCTTTTGTTTTGTTATTCATTTATATATAAGCACACATTCTTTTATTTAACCTTCATGGAAAGTGTAGTTTATAGTTTCGGTTTTCTGTTTTTTTTTTTTGTCACACTCTAGAATAATATTAGGTTATTAGGTTATATTCATTCATTGCTCTGTAATTGGTTCGCTTGAACTGTTGGGCAATAAACTTATTATTATTATTATTATTATTATTATTATTAATAAAGACGTCGAAGAAATGAACTCATGAACCGGTCCAAAATCCATAATAACCCGAAAAAAGAGACAATTGGACGTCAAATAACCCAGTAACGGCGGATGGCCCGGATTTTATGGAACGTGACCCTCGATAATACTTTTTCACATAATATTCTGATAGGACGCAAGATTTAAAAATTATGGACGCTGCCCGCACGCTAGCCATAAACCCAATAGTGGCCATAACTTTTTTATTTTGATAGAGATATAAAAGTGATTTTCGAGAAGTGCGAGATATAACGAAGACACGAAGCCCGACTTCACGGTCCAGATTTAATTAATCCCCCTTATCCGACTGATTGCTCATTTAATTTAGTCGCGAGGGCGCAAAAAATCATTCTATTATCTCGAGACACAGCATGATTGATTAAAATTTTAAAACGGCTTGTTGGGGACCGCTCTATTTTTTAACGACCCACCTTGCAATAAGCCACTTTAACCTTTAACAAAATGTCCACGCCAAGTGGAAATTATAAAAAGCACTCGCTGAAAGCCTGTTATTTCGCTTTTCTTTGTTTGCTTTGACGGGAGTTATCTTCATCCGAGGAGATTCTGGGCGGTAGGATGGGAATTAATGGCTGTTGGTCGCCGCGAAAATCCGAAATTGATCGTTATTTGATGCAGTTAAATTGGATCCGAGTTAAACGGACGATATATTTGCATTTGGGGCGATTTAAAGTGGGATTAAGTGCAACCGGTGAGTGCACCGGTTCAGAATAGTGCAGCGATTAGGATAAATAAATCGCGGCTTAATGTTGCCGACACCTGTAACAGTAATTTGCGACAAAAGTGGAAAATAAATCCATAGTCAAAGCAGCTTGGACTGGTTAGAACCCTCTCCCCCTCTTACCTGCACGATTTCCAGGATATGTTGACATTTCTCCCTGACGTTGATGAAAGGACAACTAATTGATAACCTTAAAATGATAGGTAAATGTAGCGACACCAGGTCCAAATACTCCTTCGGGACGTCATTAACGGTATTCCCCACTAGATCCGAACACGCGCACCCGTTGGACGCGTTCTGCAACCTATGACCCATCCGATAGTGCTTGGGGCTGCCGACGCCGTCCAGCCACCCCTCGACCGTCTTCGATATCACGTCCAGGGCCACTTCCCGGATTTCGTTGTCGCGCGAACAGATCGGCATGCAAAACCGCGAGATCAGGTCCAGGTCGCGGAAGAGACCTTCGTAGTCGGATTCTACGTCGTGCGATCTACTTAGCTCGTTATTGTTATTTGATTTGTTAAATTCGGTTTGGACGAACATCGTTTTAAGGCAAATGAGTTAATCAAATCGGAAAAGAAAGACGCTGGGTCGAGTCGGATGGGGCTCCTGCGAGTAGGAACTGGCTAATACTAGGTAATACTGTAGATTTTGATTTGGGGGCGTCCGGGCGTGCAAGGGAGACCTGCGAACAAAAACAACAGTCAGCGAAATCGAACAGAAAACTTACTTGCTTAAATTAAGTAATTGTTTATGTACCGCTTCTTTCGAATCTTTGCCACTAGTTACAAAATGATCTTATTATATGGTCTTCCGGGATCCGGGAAGCCGTACCGGATTGTCCACTGCCTCCAGAACCTGTTCTGATAAGCTGGGGTTCATGGATTGAAGCGCCTATTTTGACATTTTTGAGGTCTAAAATTATAGTTGCGAATTTAAAATATCGCCACGTAACGTCGGTTTTGCTCCTTCGCAGGGTCCGAGAGCTCGACAATCGAATCACGGCCCTGGACCATTATCCACTTATCCCAAACTAGACTCACTACCGTCATTACGCAACATTAGCCGGTAATTATGTTTTGAAAATATTTCCCCGGAATATAACACTACAACGTCGCGCCAATTAAACCCAATCTCTCGCTTCCGAGAATCCCCGAAATGTGGTTACGTCGACTTGCATCAACAAATTTTTCGCCGTTTTATAAATGAAGCGCATTTTTATTCCCATAAGAATCCACGGCTTCACAAACGGCCGCTCATTTATCAAACGAATTAAACGATTTAATAAGAACACCGCGCCACATCCTACCTCCGAAGACATATTTTATGCCTTTCGTTTAATGATTGACTTAATAAGGCTTATTTAAAGTCGGCAATAATAATCAATCATTGTTATTATCATGAGCTCGTTACGCTGAAACGCTAAAAAGTGCAAATTGTGGCTTTGGATTTTTGTGTGCGTTTGGAGTAATTGCTTGTCGGTGTGATTGACAAGGTAGTAGCGTAATTGTGAGTTAATTACACTCGTGTTTTAATTAGCGTTACATGCTGGGTGGTATTTGTCGAAAAAATCCGTGTGAATGTGTGGCGGAGTGCTTTCGTGCTCTTTATTCAATTATGAAATACTCGAGAATAGAAAAATAACGGTCGGAGTGAAATTCTTGCAAGTATGCACACATATCTGGAAGCGCGCAGCGCAGTTATGATATAAGTGGACAGAATTCTTTAACCGTGTTTCCATCTCAGTAGTAATTTTTGCATTGAAAACGTTAGAAGAATGTTAACGAGTGATTTTTTACGAGACGTCATCGCATTTATGGTCAGCCGAATTCCGGTGATCGTTTCAAGACCCACACGAGCTCTTCCCCGAACTGATAACTCCAGCCGCCCCAGAAAGCGGCGGCATTCCAGGAAACAGTTCAATCGATCAGTGGCGCAGATTCCCGTCCGACATCAACTATGTTGCCGATTTGGGGGGAAACTGCCGAAATTAATTATTAAACTCTCGTCACAATGACAAATCATTCCGGAATTAAATCGACTTCTCGGCGTCGCGTCCCCCGCCCGAGCCGCCCCTGCCAAACTGGACGATTACGTTTTTATTTCCTTTCGATCGGCGCCGTAAATCCATCGCCATCTTTCCCTTGATAATTTCATTTTATCCGAGTGGCAATTTTCGCTCAAACTGGAACACTTTCTCCTATTTCCTTCCGAGTAATTTTTTCAATTATGTCCCATACATAAGCGCGATAATCGATTCTCGCTCCCAGGACGATTCGCCGGAAAAGTCGGGAATCGCTGGAGTGAGTTTGGGGGCGCTTTGTTTCGGGGGGAGGGGGTTGATTAATCCGGATTTTCACGACGGTTACAATTCGCCGTTGGAAAATTACGTGTTAAGTCGATATACTTGAAAAAACGAACTATTATTATGATTATTATCTTGAGGCTACTAAATACGTACGAAAAATCGTGGTAAGAAAGGCACCACACGGAAATGTTCCGCAACAAGACCGACTATTCAATCTAATGCTTTTCAAAGTTACGACTGTTTATTACTATTATTAGAAGAAAAACTACATTTCCTCATTATGCGAATACAATTATTCAAACTAAAAGACGGCTCGTTCTGTATCGTTAACTCGAATATGACCATCTTATATCACCTGTGAATAACTAGAATTAGCATTTCGTGGGTACGACTGCCGAGAGTAGTGTTAATCAAGCTTAATCAATTCCCACCTTGAAAAAAATACTGTTGTAGGTAAAAGTAACCTAATATTTCACTGCAGCAAATCAACTCGTTTGCATAAAACAAGATTTTGTTTTCTCCATTATTAACTTTGATTGCACTTTAATTTTGCTTTCCAGTCGTGAACTCTCTGGTATCGCACACCTTATACTTTGTACACATTTTTAGCCGCTTACAGTCACTAATTATACGGAGTTTCTGATAACGCCGAACTAATACCACAATTACACGGAAAACTGCTGTAACTAAGTGGTTTTTTCATTGTTCCTGATACATAATTTGCTTGGAAAAAACAAGTGGAACTAGCAGTTTTATCAGTTTGGTTTTTACGTTGACCGGACTAAAACTGAAAAATATGTCATCAGTACTGCTAAATATACTTATTCTGTATTTCAGTTAGCTGTAGCTTGATCGCGTTAAAACTGAACAAATAAAACATGTTCTAATCGAACATTGATACTGAAAAAGAACAATTTCAAGATTTAATCAAATTAAATTACGAAAAATTCTAGCTTTTTCGTCTATGAACCGGTTAGACCTGATTTGACCAGACACATTTGACGTGATCAAATTGACCTGACCTGATCGGAAAAACCTGACTTGACCAGATAGATATGATTTCAGAGACAGACTCAATTTAAAAAGATAGACCTGAATTGACCAAACAGAACTAACTTGACCAGACAAATTTATCCTGACAAACCCAACCTGACCTGACTTAATTTAACTAATTCAAACTAATAATCCATCTATAGATCTTGTTGGATGTAAATTAAAACTTGGTTTTCAATCTCTCTAGGTTTTTGTAATATATTTTCCTTGTACTCCGTCTTTTGACGGTTTAAATGCTGTTTGTGATTTCTTTGAGGAAGAGTTAGTGAGTCTTAATAACATAATTCTAATAGGTGACTTCAATATTCCAAATTTTAATGACATCATCCCTAATAAAACAATTCTTCGTCTACAGACATTTGCACATTTTTTAAATTTAAATCAAATAAATAATATTTTCAATTCTAATAATAAATTGTTAGATTTAGCATTTTCGAATATTCAATGGGAAGTTAGCCACTTTGATAATCCAATGGTAATAGAAGACAAGTATCACCCAGCACTATCTTTAGTTTGCACCTTCTCAGTTGATAAACCGATTCATTTTCCACGCCATGGTAATGATAACCATAATATAAGTGCCTTTAACTTTCGTAAAGCTGACTTCATCTCTCTTTACAATGATATCCTATTAACTGATTGGTCATTATTATCAACTCTTTCTTCTGTAGATCTGATGGTTGATTGTTTTTATAATATCCTGTTCAATTTATTCCGTAAACATGTACCTGTCTTTCGGTCAAAAAAGCGGCATTACCCGCCATGGTTCAATAGGGAAATAATAAATAATATTAAATTTAAATTCCGATACCTTAAGAAATACAGAGCTTCAGGTCTACATTCTTATTTACTGAAATTTAAAGAAATTAGGTCCCTTTTAAAGAAGCAAATAAATACTGCTTATAAATTGTATATTAACAACATTCAAATTAACATACATCATGATCCTAAGCAATTCTGGGGTTACATTAATGCTAAAAAAGGTAAAACTAGAATTCCAGGCCAAATGTCATTTGGTATAAACAAGTTTGAAAATCCTATGGAAATAGTAAATGCCTTTAGTGATTTCTTTAGATCCACCTATACTGAATCTGATCCGCTTGATGAATATTATTTAGCTGATACTGTAAATTCTACCTCATGTGTTGTAAATATATTTAAGATCACGGAAGATGATATAATAAAAGCCATCACAAGATTGAAACCAGGTATGACATCAGGTTCAGATCAGATTCCAAGTTTCATAATTAAGGACTGTAAGTTTCAAATTGCTAAGCCACTCCTACTAATTTTTAATAAATCCCTTGAAACAGGAGTTTTTCCTAATAAATGGAAAGAATCTAAGATCTGTCCTGTCTTGAAGTCCGGTGATGCATCTAAAATTGAAAATTATAGACCAATCTCCCTGCTTTCTAATTTTGCTAAAATTTTTGAATTAATCCTATATTCCCATATCTACCCCGAAGTGAAAAATTATATATCAAAGTATCAGCATGGTTTTTTAAATTATAGATCAACAACAACTAACCTCATAATGTTCTCACAATTTGTATCTGAAAGTTTGGAAAATCAATCACAAGTCGATGTCATCTATACGGATTTTACAAAGGCATTTGATCGTATTGACCACAATATTCTTCTTAAAAAACTTGTAAATTTTGGTTTCACTTGTAAATTATTAAACCTTTTTCGATCCTATCTTACTCTCCGTACTCAATTTGTGCAGTATAACAACTTTGTATCTTATTCTTTTATTGCTAGCTCAGGAGTTCCTCAAGGATCTATATTAGGGCCACTTCTCTTTAATTTATACATAAATGATCTACCTTCCAGCATACACTGTTCAATTTTGTTATTTGCAGATGACGCGAAAATATTTCATAATATTAACTCATTAGCAGATGCTATCTTTCTTCAAAAAAACTTAACCAGGCTCTATAAGTGGTGCATCAGCAATAAATTTAAATTGAGCCTTCCTAAATGCAAAATTATTTCATTTACTCGAAAAAACAACATTATTACTTATGATTATGAAATAGATCAAAGCATACTCCCGCGATATAACACTGTTAAAGACTTAGGTATATACTTTGATAAGGCTTTTCGATTTGATCAACATTATTTTAATATTATTTCATCCTGTAATCGGACGCTGGGTTTTATTATACGTAATAGTAAATCTTTCTATAATATTGACTGCCTCGTCGCCTTATACAGAACACTTATTTTGAGCAAGCTTGAATATGCTTCCATTTTGTGGTATTCTATATATCAAACCTACAATGTCATAATTGAAAACATCCAACGTAAATTCCTAAAATACTTATTCTTAAAATCTCATAAAGTTTATCCCCCAAGAGGATATAACCACGATCTTCTCCTAGATGAATTTAAGTTTATCCCTGTTTTAGTAAAGCGTCAAACTAATGTTCTACTTCTATTATATAAATTACTTCACTCCCAATTGGATATATCTCAAATGCTTGAAAAACTGAACTTTTTAGTCCCACGAATATATGCCAGGCATCATTCAACTTTCACCTACAATATCCCCAGGACAAATATGATTGTTAGATCGCCGCTATACCTGATGTCATCTTTATATAATGAAGTTTGTAATGATGTTGACATATTTCATTTGAAATATTCAACGTTTAAAAAATGTGTTGAAAGATTTTTTTTTTTGAAAAAGTAGGTAATATTTAGTAGTATTCATTAATTTTTGTATTAATTTAGTATTAGTTTAGCCACTAATCTATCGTTTCGTAGTTTATTTTTCTTTTTATTTAGTTCTTTTTTTTTTACATACAATTGTTCTTTTAAGTTGTACCTGTAATTGGTGTATTTTACACTGTTGGGCAATAAAGACATTATTATTAGGACCCACCACTGACCCGGAAATGACCGGCATTCAGGCAAGACTTCTATCATTACGGGTACTAAGACCAAGTAATGATATGCATTGATTATTATTATTAAGACCCACCACTGACCCGGAAATGACCGGCATTCAGGCAAGACTTCTATCATTACGGGTACTAAGACCAAGTAATGATATGCATTGATTAGATTAACAGAACAACTTTCGAGATTCTAGAATTACAGCATACAAATTAGTCTGCTATTATTCTCTAATCTCACCCCATCCCCAAAAGTCCAGCGTAACTACCGACCATTTATCCGCGCATCACATGAAAAGTGACCTACACTACTCTGACCTACTGGTGCTAATCTAATCTGACTGACATGATCAGATTGTTCAAGAAACTTACGAACAATATGACATGTTCCTAACAAAACAGCTTTTTGAATTTTGACAATTATTGAATCATTCAAATGCAAAGACTTTAAATTCTCAACTAAGCTATTTGGAACTACACCTACATTAGAGATAACTAGGGGTAGAATTGAAATTTTTTTAAGATTCAACATGGATTTCATTTCTATCGATAATTGTAGATATTTTGAAATCTTGGTGTCGTATGTTTGAATAATGTTGTTTGTGTTAGGAATAGCAATGTCAATGAGAATGGCTTCGTTCGTGTGTTTTTTGATAAGTATGATGTCTGGTCTGTTAGCTGTAATGTTTAAGTCTGTAAGTATTGTACGATCCCAGTATAATTTGTATTTGTTATTTTCAAGGAACGGAGATGGAATGTAAGTGTAATAGGGTGTCGTATCTTCGATTAAGTTCATAAGTGTTGCTAATTCTTTGTGAATGATTTTGGCTGCGTTGTCGTGTCTAGCTTTGTAATCAGTTTGTGCTAGGATGCTGCAAGAAGAGATTATGTGCTGGATCGTTTCAGGTTTTGCTTTGCATAGGCGACAGCAGTCGTTTTTTATGTTCGGATCTTTGATGATGTATTTTCTATAATTCTTGGTATTGATTACTTGGTCTTGAATAGCAAACACAAATCCTTCTGTTTCGGCATACAAACTTGATTTTTTTAACCAAATCAATGACATCTTCTTATTGACATGATTTTCTTCTAAGTCTTTGTAGAATTTTCCATGTAGTTGTTTTTGTTTTAGCCCACTTATTATTTTATCTATTGTGTGGGGGGTATGGATTTCTTCGGTGTTCGACAGATTTAAGGGTGTGTGGTTCAAATCTGCTCTTGTGATGGTGCGAAACATTTCATTTCTTTCCGCTCGTTTCAAGAAATACTTCTTCAAATCTGAGATTTGTCTCTGATATAAGTTTTCTAAGTTCTGGAAACCCCTTCCTCCATTCTGTCTTGGTAATGAGAATCTTTCAATCGACGATTTTGGGTGATGCCTTCTATACTGTGTGAAGATTTTCCTTGTTGCGATGTTTAAATTTTCAAGATCAGTTTTGGACCATTTAATGACTCCAAAAGAATATGTTAGCAGTGGAACGCAGAATGTATTTACTGCTTTC